CTGCCTCCTTTCTTCTGCCATCCCCCCAAATCAGTGCTTCCCTCCTGGTGTCGCTCCCTGATGGCAATGAAAGGATGTGTATCCCCATCCATGGTTTTGGGTTAGCGTGATGGATGCTGCTACCCTACAATGGGAGGTGACCACTGGTCAGTTCGCCCCTGCCTACTCAATTTGCCTCTACGATGAGTCCAGAAAGCCTTCCTCATGTGAGAAGGCTGTTTGCCCTTCTTGCAACCAGCACTGTCTTGTTTCGTGTTGCAAAGATATTTGGTGCCTGTGACGGCAAGTAAGGAAGTGACGTAAATCAGGGCCACCATAAATCAGTGAATCTCTCTGCCACCACCAAGGAAGAACAAGGGCACCTTTTATTAGAAGAGCTGCAGTTAATATGAGGGCACATTCTTGGTCATCTGCTCTTGATTGTTATAAATCGGAAGGACACACTTCTCACCTGGAGTGCTGGGCACTCTGTGCCTTGTCCCTGGAGGTGAGAACGCTTTGGATCCTCTCCCAGCACACACAGCTCTCGCATCCCAGGTGACTGCCCTCAAGAGCAGCTTCTATGGGAAGAGAAGAGATGAGGAAGGGGATTTTTCTGAAAGGAAGGGCAGCCAGAACTGGACTTGGATTTGAGTGTGATGGGAGGGTCTGTTCAGCTGGCACACCTCCAGTGTCCATACTTTCCCTCGTCTCCATACCTCATCCTTCCCTTGGTTGGGCAAGGCCATGCTATTGCCTCCTGCTACTGATCCCAGGGTGCCGGAGGCTGATTTTGGGAAACAGCTTGGCAGGATCTGGGTCCACATGTGTGTACCCTCCAGCTGACTGTAGTAAATGCTGCTCCTCACCTGAGTGCCTTGGTGTTTGGCTCTCTTAGACCTCCCCGAGATCAGCGTGAGCCATGTGAACCTGACGGTGCGGGAAGGGGAGAATGCTGTCATTACCTGCAACGGCTCGGGCTCGCCACTGCCTGACGTCGACTGGACGGTGGCTGACCTTCACTCCATCAACACGCATCAGGTAGGGGCCACGGGACCTCAGTGCTGCCTGCACCCGATGTGGCAAGGGCAAGGCAGCTGCCATGGGTTCCCCAGATCTGCGCATGCAGGGCAGAGGATCAGGTAGATGGTGGAGAATGCTATAAGAAATGTAAAAGGTTGCACTGAGGCCGTACTCTACCCACATAAGGACCTGTGAACCACCTAAGGGGGGTACCGCAGGCAGCAAAATCTTCCCTTTCTATGGCTGGAAAGTAAAGATGAGATAGCTCTGTATCTCAGTGCTCCCTAATTGAATTAACTCGTGTCTCCTCTAATGACATTACCAGTTTACCAGAGGTGTCTACAATAGCTGAAGCTGAAAAAGGCAGCTAAGCAAGCTTTTCTAGAGACAAGCCATGTTTTTCAGTGCTACAACACTGTGGCTCTCTCCCTCCCAGTAGTTCCTCTTATAGGGTATTGTGTACTTAATCAGATGAGGAAACACCTTCCAGTGCCTGGATCCTAACTGTCCTTGGATTTTGGAGGCCTTTCTTGCATCTTATATGGAAACTGGGATCCTCGTGTTCTGGGGGCAGAAGCAGGGAGGGAGAAGCCAACAGACATTGATTTCTGTCTGTGTTTCTCTCTGTGGTTTTCAGACCAACCTCAACTGGACCAATGTTCATGCCATCAATTTGACCTTGGTGAATGTCACCAGTGAGGACAATGGGTTCCTGCTTACCTGCATTGCTGAGAATGTGGTGGGGATGAGCAATGCCAGTGTGCTGCTCACCGTCTACTGTAAGTAGCAGTGGAGAGACCTTGACCATATAGAGGCTGGAGAACTGCTCTGGGAACTGTTTCAATACATGACCACTTGCTATCTGTGACATACTGGTTTTGTGGGTGAGGATTAGGAGCTGAGCATAGTGAGGAGGAGGCAGATCCTCACACGGCTCTCTTAAATGTCAGTATTTTTGCTTTTCTACTGCTTCCATTAATGCAGAAATGAGCACTAGAGCAGAGGAGGAGCAGCAGTGCCACACCAGTAGTGGACATTTCTCCACCTATTTCTTGGAAGATCCAGCAGAGTAAGGGAAAGCCTTAGAGGGGCTAAAACTCTACAAACACAGAGTTGCTCACTCTGATGCTATGTAAGAGGTTAAATGTCACCCTTGCTAAAGCCAGTGTAAATCAGACCTCTGATTTCAGGGATGCTAGTGGTTCCTCCCAGGTCTGTTCCTATGAAGTTAAACTGCAAATGCTGTGTAAACATGCACATGTCAAATTTCAACTGTTCACTTTTAGCCAAAAGTAGCTAAACTTTCTTTTGTGCTTTCTAATATAACTTAACACAAACCTGACCTTAAGAGGAAGTTTACACAGCTTTGTGCTCTCAAGGAGCTAAGATTTACTATATGTTGCTGTGTCTGTAATATTTGCCCTTACTCTGTAGCTTGAAAATCTGTCCCCTGCCCCCAGTCTTGCCAGGTAGAGTGGAGACTCATGCAGGTGTCTGACTAGTCCTAGTGAGCCCACAAGTGTTGTCTCCAATGCAGGGCAGGAGCCACGGGGTCTTGTAGACAAGGCAGTCACAAGGGATGGGAAAAAGGAGAGAAGATGCTTTACTACTTTCATCTTCCTCCCAATGAGTACTATTGATGGATTAAAGAATGCAGTTAATTAATGTTCAGATCAGGTCAGAGGTGATTGGTCAGCAGGCGGGTATTTTTTGGTTTAGCATCTTTTCCTCCACACCTTAAACAGGTGTGGAGGAAAAGGTGCTAAATGATGATGCCTATTTTCACCTGTGTAAGCCTCTAAGCTGCTGACAGTTCTGCTACCTCTGCTCTTGTTGCCCAGACCCATCACTTAGGCTGTAATTTCACACTGAAAAAGATTTGGGTGTGTGCGTGTAGGTGGCTGCCTGTTTTGAATCCTCCTTGCCAGGAGGATGTGAACAAGCCACACACAGATCTAGGCTTGCGAGCGAAATGAGGTGGCTGGGACATGGCTTCGTGGTTCAGGGTAGCTGGGTTATGGTGGAAAAATTTTTCCTCAGCTCCAACCAGCTCTACACCTTTTTCTCTTTCACCATCTTTGCTGCCTGAAAAATTCGCTGTCTTTTTTCCAAAAGATGGATCAAAGTTGGTGCATTGTATTTGTTCCTTGTGGATGCCCCATGGATTGTCTTTGCAGCTGGATGGTGCCAGGAAAAGGAGAGTTTTAGAGAAGACCCATATCTTTTTGTGTCCTTTCTCTTTGTATGAAACTCTGTTCTTCTAGCTCAGACCTTGCCAGCCTTGGGGTTTGGGACCTTACATGTAGGCGTTGTAAATGGGGTTTCAGAAGCGATGACAGAGCAACATTTGAATTCTTGGAGTGTCTCGAGGGAAGACAATGCATATGCAATAAATTGTAGGTGGAGTCTCTGCTTTTTTTTTCCCTCTCCCACTCTACTCCCTTTAATTAAGACTCCCCTGGAGGGTGTTTGGCGGGTGAGAACTCCTTTGGGATGTTCAGGCAGTCAAAACACCCAAGGACAGGCAGGCGCTGAGGGATGTTTGCTTCTGCAGCTACGCAATCCAAAACTGCTCAGTGTGACTGGAGAGCCCTCAAGGGACACCTTGCACACATGTAATGTAACAGTGCTACGTCGCAGCGTCCTCCTTAACGGGGATGGACGGCCTCCTGTGATCCCTTGAGGGAAGGAGAGCAGCAGTAAGCATGTAGGCTGGGCAACGCCAAGCTTGATTGTTTCTGGGCTGGTGAAAGGACCATCCTTGTTATTAATTTGTACCCCTTGTTTACAAGCCTGAGAGAACTGGCTGTGGTTCAGATCCTCCTTCTGGGGAGTGTGGAATGGTTCCTGTGACTTAGTGCTGCATCTTTGCATATATTCTTGAGAGGAGTAGAAGGAACAAGGGATTTCAGAGGTTGTGTTTTCAAGAATCTTAATTTCCATGGTGCACAGAGACATGGTGTGGGTGGAGGTGCACTGTGAGCCTGCCATGTTTCTCTTTGCTAGATCCCCCTCGCATCCTAACCCTGGAGGAGCCGGTGCTACACCTGGAGCACTGCATTGCATTTGCAGTGCATGGGAACCCAGCTCCCACCCTTCACTGGCTGCACAACGGCCAGGTCCTCCGGGAGACAGAGATCATCCACATGGAGTTTTACCAACAAGGGGAAGTGTCTGAGGGTTGCCTGCTTTTCAACAAACCCACTCACTACAACAATGGCAACTACACAATTGTGGCCACCAACCAGCTGGGCTCAGCCAACCAAACCATCAAAGGACACTTTCTTGAAAAGCCCTTTCCAGGTACGATACTAAGTTTATCTCATTAGGGTTGCTTGCAGTCCAAAGGTCTTACTGTGGTCCCACCAGTAATCCTTGCACCTAGACAAGGCCTCAACAACTGAAGTTGGCCTTTGTCTGACCAGTGAGTTAGAAGAGGTGACTTCTGGAGGCCTCTCCTGACCAGTATGATTCCCCTACTCAAGTGTGCTTTGGAGTCATAACAGCTCTTTAATGCAGAGAGAGAGACTCACTGGTTTAGATGTTTTTCTTGTGTACTGTATTCTGCAGTGTTGGTGTGTGTTTGTGTTTGTTTTTTTTTTTTAAGATCTTTGGGGATTTCAGTGGGAATACAATGGAAGTTTGGCCAATTATTTTGGATCTTTCTGAGGTGCTCCAAAGAGGTTGCCTGATTTTTTTTGAGAGAAAGTATTATTCTATGTGATTGCTAGTTATAAACTGAAGAAAGGAAAGCCCTTTAAAGTGATGCAGCTCTTCTCTTTTTTTTTTTCTTTTAGCCTGCGTTTGTGAAATGATTATAGCTGGATGCAACAGTGTCAGGATTGTTTTCTTTCTAAACATGACGTGCAATTCCAGGATGACAGGTCTACAAAAGATGCGATGGCTCAATTAGTCGCTTTGCATCAGTTTGCTGGGATTTCTTAACTGATTGTTTGGAATTACCCCTTGTACTCCCTAGTGATTCAGGGCTTAGCTAAAAAAAAAAGGCATTTGAGGACATGAAGATCCAGCTCTGAGGAGTGCAGCGGAGACTTTTGTGGTGACCTGCTCTGTGGGAGTGTGGAGGGTCTTGGTCTGCTCTCTGTTGTTGTAATATCATGCTGGCCATCATGGAGTTAAGATCTGTGCTTGCTGCTGCCTTCAGGAATGATGCCATGAGAAAGTGGCAGCTCTAAATTGGCCCCTGCAGCCCAAGAAAATCCAGCAAAATAGGGCGTTTGCTAAATATAGAAAAATACCAATGGTACTCTCATTTATTATTTATATCACACCATATATGTACACAGACTTTTCCCGCAGGTCAAATATCGTAAATGCAACCCCAGATCTCTGCCTTGAAGATCTGACAATTGAATAAATGAGCTGATATGGTTGGGAGTGGAAAATTTATATTCAGGCTCCAAGGATGATGCCCTGTTTGGCTATCTGACCTATTTATGTTCCCTGCTGTCAGGACAGAAAAGCAGCTTATCAAATGTAGGTGGGTGCGGAGAGGCACAGGTTTGCAGTCTCAGATCTGTCAGGTCCCATCTTTGTGACTCAATTTCCCCATCTGTGAAACGGGGACAGCTCTTAAATAGATGCTGGACCTCCAGAAAAGGGGGAAGATCTGTTGTTCTGGAGAGATGGTTTTGGAAATGCATCTGAGTTGCGCTGTGATGTGGGAAGGCACAGTGATGTTTGAAGAGCCACTTGTGTCAAAGGCTCTGGGAGAATCCATTTGTGTGAAATATATGTAAAATATTGCCATTGTGAGTGCATCTTCACCCACGCCTTGTATGTGTTGTCAATGTGGAGTACTTACAGACCCCGAACCATCTCTCGGCAGGAACTGACCCATTTCTTTTATTTCTTCTGATCCGAAGTCCCAAGCCATTCCTCACCCTGGCAGACCCTGGCAGCCCAATGCACGGTGTAATTTGCTTTCCCTGATGTTTGTTGTCCTGTCCTCTGCCACAGCTGATGTTAACGCTCAATGCAGCTGATGTTTATAATTTCCCATTTGAAGGTAGATTCCTCCAGAAAATGCCACAAATTGAAGGTTGCCCAGTGTGGTTCATTCAAGCAGCTTATTGCCTACAGCTATTCACACATGCAATGGTTTTGCTGTCGCTACCCAGGGTGAGATTATTAGTCTTAATTAATGAAAACATAGTGCCTGGAAAACTTCCTGTCAGCATAGAAAAGGACCTGTGACCATGTTTTTTTCAGAAGTGTCTGGTCTGCAATCTCTTGTGGGTACTGTGACAGATAGTGCTCCCCAGGTTCAGAGAAGAAAGGTGCTGTCAGAAGCTGGATGGGAGCTGGGAGATATGCCTCATGCTGTATCCTGCTTCTCTGCAATGTTGTGGCTCTAGGAGCCAGGGCAGTGGCTCCCAGGACAGATTTGTGTCATCTCCTGATAAAAATCTCATGTTGTCATTGGCATCTCTACCACAGGCTACCAGCTCCTAATTTAGTCCACAAAGGTTAATGTACCTATCTCCCCTCCTTGATGAGTGTTCAATTCTTTGGGAACTTCTCGAAGAACTCAAGTTGGCTGAAATTTCTTGGCTATGTTTTATGCTTTGAAAAATAGGGTTTAGTGGGAAAATCTTTTCTGTGAGTTTCTGTTGAGTTTGCTTATTCCAGCAGAGAAAATGGAAAGGGGAAAATGTAGAAGCAGCAAGAGCTTTACGACTAGACTCTGTTTGCTTTAATAGGAAAAAAAAAAGTCTCCAAATGAAATATTTCTTCCTCTTTTTTTTTCCCCCTCTTGCTAGAAAAAGCCAAGGAAAGTTACTCTTCTGCTTGACTTGAAACAAAAATATTTTTTCAGGTTTTTTACCCCTGGTTTGGAAAGCTGTGTTGTCACCCGGGGGTTGTTTTACACTTCCCTTCCAAACCTCACCCGTACTTCAGTGTGAACGTTTCCACGTCCTTCCAGGAGCCCTTTGCCAGCAAAGCTGTGTAAACTCCAGTTAATATCGGGCTCAATTTCTTACATGGGCGAGTGAATTGAAAGCTGACGTTGTTCTCATGCTATGTAAACTGAGTGTCACCGAGAGCTTTAGACCTCACCATCTGGGGCCTTGGCTGTCTTCAGAGCTGAAGGAGCTTTACAGAATAGAGTGAAGCAGTCAAGTGCCTGGTGGCAGGGGAATGGTGCGGCTGTCTTGGGCAAGAGTTGGCTGTAGGACAGTTATAACGTCCATGTTCAGTTCAGATGCTATTAGCTTTCATGAGTGGCTCAGCAGGCTGTTGAGGAGTCCCAGAGGAGGTCTCTAACTCCCTGCCCCGAGGTGAACTGTGCTTCCTAGGAGCTGGTCCTTGTCCTTCTAGGACTTTCTCCCTGTGCAGAATCTACTTCTCTGCCCTCCACCTCCACCCTGCTGAGCTCGTGTGTCTGTTGAGCTTTACTCACCTGCTGAAAGCAGAGTCATTTAACCACCATTCAGAAGTCTTCCTACAGGGTGCTGCTAATTGTTCTCTGTTTTGGCAGTAGCATTCCTCTCCTCCTGTTTCAGCCCTGTGCAGTTACGCCTGTGCTCTCCATCCTGACCTCCAGAATCTCCTGCTGGCACATGTGCAGCATTTTCCAGTTAGTTGCCCATACAGGACAAAATATTAAATGTTTTAGTTTCCTGGGCTTTTTGAGGTGGCGGAGTGTATCTGAGGCAGGTTGGGAATGAGACCGCTCTCCCTTTGCTATGCTGCTAACTATGTTGCTTCTCTCTTTGTCCTTTCCACAGAGAGCACGGACAACTTTGTCTCAAGTAAGTGTCTCCATGACCTTTGCACACTGTGGGTGTTTTGCTTTTGGGTTCCCCCTGTCTCTCTGTGGCTTATGTGCTCCTGGAGGAAAAATCGTGAAGCCAAAAGCAAGTTGGCGGAGGCTGCACAAAGCTTAGGCGTCCCCATGCATGAGTGAGATGGTGGGGGGCTTTTGATCAGGTGGGCGATATCTAGAACCCAGGAGATACTCATTTCCCTCTAGTGACATCCTGAATGAAATGACAGTCTTTGAGGTCTTAAATGACAGTATTCCCCTCTAGTGACATACTGAATGGAAATGACAGTCTTTGAGGTCTTAAATGACAGGGCTGGGGAAAAATACCACTGAAACTCTGACCAGTTGGTTGTGTTGTAGTGGAACGAGTCTTAACTAGATGTAGTCTGGCTGATGTCCGAAGCAGTTGTGTGTCATGACCCATTTACAACATGGTCTCTAGTGTAGACTGGGGTCGGAAGCAAGACTCAGCTTCTGTAGTGTTTCGTCAACAGATTCTTCCCCCCCTAAAAAATATCAAAGTAACTTGTTTCTTTGGATCAAGTTCTGCTGGAGTCAGCCTCGTGTTTTAACCCTACTTAGCCCAGTAGATTTCTGAAAACTCAGTGCTGGAGGCCACCTACCCTAGGATACCAGGCATCCGAATGTTTTTCATCTGTAAGGTTGAAGTGACATCAGCATTGTCTTGGTCTGTGTTTCTCTGTTGATGTGCACAGGGAACTCTCTGATGGTTGATTTTGATACCTTCTGAAATAAAGTTGCAGCCTCTGTTAGGAATGAACTGGGTCTCGATAGGTCAGGGACTGCCATTGGGGATGTGCTGGTGCCTTGGGAGTCCCATGGGACCCATGTTGAATCTTCTGTCTTTTGGTGTTTTGGTTTCAGTCGGTGACTATGAAGTGAGTCCCACCCCACCGATCACTGTGACCCACAAACCGGAGGAGGACACTTTTGGGGTGAGTCCTGTCCTCTTCTCTGCAGAGCTGTTTTACATGCGCTTCTTGTTACTGATGACTCAGTATTTACATTCCTGTGCTGTTTGAGATGTTGGTAAGGAAAATCTCTTCCTTTATGACTCAAGACAACAATTAGAAGGATTTTGTGGCTGTGTCAGGCAAGTAAAATACTGACATGAACCATCTGATCCTCTTGGGTCTGCAGTGTGGAACTGGGGAGCTTTTTGAAAATAAGGCATCCTGTGAAGTTGCTGTTGGCAGGGTCAGAAATTCTCACTCTGAAAAAGTAGCACCCAGAGAATAAACAAACAGGCAATTGTGTTTCATACAATTACTGAGCTGTTAAGTTTAGCCCTGTGAAGGACTCAGATTTAGCTTGGTTCAGTTGTGTCAATGCCAGTTTGCCCCCTCTCCTGCTCTGCAGGGCATGCCAAAAATGCAAAGGAAAGAAAGCCCAGGGCTTATTGGATCTCAACATTGGCTTTCTTCGGCAGAATCCAGGTAGAAAAAGAAAACAAATTAGTGTCTAGGTATTGGGAAAAAATTAACATGTTACACAATTGCTCTAATTCTATGAAAGTTTTAAGATCTTGAAACCCACAAGGTGTTAACAGAATGAACAAAACTCAATCCACATTGGTTTCAGTTCTCATCCAACTGAAAATCTTGTATAACTGAAGTGAACGCTTTAAACAGTGAGACTGGAGTAATAATGTGCACTGATTATTAAATATAAAGCACAGAAAACAAGCTGGGGGATGAAAGTAGAGCATGGTAAAATAAAAAATTTAAAAATATTGTAGCTAACGTATCAAGGGCAGGGGAAAGGATTGCAAAATGAAATTACTTTTTCTTGGTTAAATGATGTATTTTGTATTATAGCAGAATACAGTTTTGTAAAAGGAAGCAAAATCTAAATGCATCACAAGACTCAGTACAGGAGAACAATTGGACAAATGCCAAAGAAATTGTTGTTTACATCAATGCAATAAAAGTATCTTGAGCAAAGACTTGAAGGAATAAATATTCATAAATATTAAAATAAGCCTGGGATTGTAAACCCTTTAGGGCAAGGAGATTTTCTTTCCTCTACTTGTACATTGACACAGTGGAACTACAGTTCCAGTGAAGGGCTTTGGACACTGTTATAGTATAAATATTTACTACTAAAAATTACAATAAATAGGGAATGATTAGAGGCTTTAGGAAAACCAAATGTTTTTTTGAGGAAAAAAATAAAGCAGTTCTACTTAATTTCTTCTGTTTTCTTTTTGTGGCGTGTTATTTTCCCTCGTTCTTTGTCCTGAGGGATGTTTGGATGGAGACAGCGTTGCTTTTCTAAACAATTTTCTGCTGCTCCTGTGTGTTCCCAGCTCAGGTCAGTATAGCTTTAGTGTTGTGGTGTTGTGGCACAGTGGTGATGCCACAAATGAAGGCTCATGTTGTCATGCTGTGAAGAGAGAGCCCTGACACTGAAGCAAAGGTCCTCCTTCCCTGCAGATATATGGAATGAGAGGCTGGGGAGAACTGATGCCGGAACGGCATTGCTGATAGGGAGATCCCAAAGCTCCCAGTCCTGCAAACAGCCTGTGGTGCTTCCAAGCTGTGCCAGAGCCCTTTTGCTTTCGCTTGTATTTTCCTCCAGAGCTGATATCCACAGGGCTGCAGCAGATGGTATAAGCCTACAGAAAGGTTAACTGGGCAAGGAGATGTTGTATTTCCAATCTAGACTCTCGAATTCCTCTGTCTTGACGCCAAGGCTTTTTTCCTTTCAGGTTTCCATAGCGGTTGGGCTGGCAGCTTTTGCTTGTGTCCTCCTGGTCGTCCTCTTTATTATGATCAACAAGTATGGTCGGCGGTCCAAGTTTGGGATGAAAGGTACGTGCAGTCACTTTCCTCTAGCAGGAGGCACCTCCCAGGATTGCTTGACTCTTATAGCACACGTGGAAAGGTGTTGTGGTTTTCTTCCTACATCGTCAGTGTTGGTGCAAAGCCTTCTAAAGAGAATGTCGTCCAACCCACTTCTGTTTGTTGAGAGAGATATACAGGCTGGTGGTTCTCACCTATATGGTGGGCAGAAGTACACATGTGTTTTATTGGTACATAACTGAATCTACAGGTTGCCCAGAAGAGCTTTAAGCCTGCTCCCTCCAGCCATGCATTGAGGGAGTTGTTCTCAGGAGAGCATGTTCTCGGATGAAATCATTTTTGTGGACCTGATGATGCATGGATGTCCCTTTGCATAGCACTGGGTGCAGAGCACAAGGTGTGAAGGGGGAGCAGAAGGATGTGAAATTGGTTTGGATTCTATTGGAAAGGCAGGTGCACCCATTCTGTGCCTGTCTGTGAATGGGGACTGAGATGCTATGAGTTTGTAAGGTCCATGCTGGAAAAACAAGTCCTGACCTGTCTTTCAGCGATGTGGAAAGTCTCTTTCTGCTGCCTCTCCCATGGAAAGCTTCCTCCTCTGCATCAGAAGTAACCAATTCAGGAACTATTTCAAGTGTCCTTGGTAGTGACTGGAAAGCAAGAAGGCATGTGATGTTTGCCAGGCAGAACTGGTCCTTCTGTCCTACCAACACCAGTGCTGTGATGTGATGGAGCTAATGCCAGAAAAAAGTAGATGACTCTGTGCCATCTGCTTTTTGTGACTCTGCTGGTATCTCCAGTTGGGCAGCGTTGGTGGTGCCCAGTGGAGGGTGGAGGAAGAGCCTTCACATGGCAAAGTAGTTCCCAGCCTAATTGGTGTCTCATGCATACATCGTTTGAAGCCAAGCTTTGACAAATATGAGCTTCTTCCAAGGCTCCCGAGTCACAGCCTATTTCCTGGCCTTGCTGGGGTCTGCGTTGCAGGACAGGTTAATAGGTTTGGGAATGTTTATTGTGCTTGCACAGGGTATTGTTTGCTTTACAGAGATGTTTCCTGAGTGGGTCCAGATGGGATTCTGGCTGGAGTTTTCCCTATGCATCCTATGGAAATGGAAGTCAGGACATTTAATTAAATAGCAAATCTTCTACACCGACTTAACAATATTTAGTCCATATGTCCAATGATAAGAACCATCTGGTAGGGTGTACTGACTGGTGGGTGGAGTAGGGGAATGGAAGACATGGTTCCTGGGATCAATTCCCAGCTCTTCTACTGACTCACTTAGTGTCCGTAGGCAATTAGCTGTCTTAACCTCTGTCTCTGCTTTAATTTCCCCATCTGTAAAATTGGGATGATGTTATGTGCTTTCTGAAGGGATTTGTCAGAACACTTTGGAAGTGCTTGGGCATTTGCCACTGATGGGGCTGAGAGATACAAATATAAAGAGGAAAAGTAACTTCTGACCCTAATGGAAAAATCAAAGAAGAGTGAACCTTGTGTGAATAACTAGTCTTGGTGAAGAGATGTGTATAAGTGTTTGGAGGTGTAAGGATATGTTTGGATACGTTTGTGTTTGGATAAGTGTGTTAGTGGATATTCAGCATTCCCGGAAACTGGAGGAGAGCTGTGATGGGCCCTTGTGTGTGCAGTTTTGGGGAGGCAAAAGCGTTCAGCCAGAAAAGCCTGCTTTCCTCCTCATCGTGCTGTATTTCTTCCAATTCTGATATGAAACCACAACCCCGCAAAGTTTCTAAAAAGTTTTATTGATGACATTGCTTGGAGAGATGGAGTTGACAGAAATTAAATACGTCTTTAAAACCTGGGAGGTAGCTCTTTAATGAGTTGCGAGTGTCATAGGCACCACCATGGGCAGCTTACATACAGCCCAAGCTCTGCTCCTTCTTTGAGGCTGCAGATCCTCCTGCCCTGTGGACAGTCTCCCTGGGATGTGGACATACTCACTCTGAGCATCCTGCTTTCCTCTAGTGTCTCTTCTGTCTACACGTTTTTCTTTAGCCATGATACTGTTGTCAACTGCCATGACACCAGGCTTTGTCTTTAGCCTATATCCCCTGTCTTTGTGCCAGGCTTGCTACCAAACCTCTCCATTTCACCCACCATACAAAGGCAACTCTTCCATTCACGTCCAGTGGCTGGGCTGCTTGGTGGTACCCTGGCTGTGGCCTGCCCTGCCAGCTGTAGCTGTTTCATTTCTCACCCTCACAAGAAATGTCGCAGTCCCCCTCCATGCTTTCCAAAATGCAGTTTCTAAACTTTTCTTCCTTGCTGCTCCACAGATCCATGAGCCCAGAGCCTTACTCTCTCCTTCGGTTGCTTTAGGGTCTCAACTGAGCTGTTGCAGATGGCCCCAAGCTGTCAATGGTACCTTGAAGCTTGTGTTTGTGCTGTCTCTCCCCTCAATGTCTTCTCTTGCACTCCACTAATGGGCTGCTGTTCCTTTCCTTCTCTCTGGAGGCTTTCTGTTCATGGGCTGATGTCCTTGTCCAGATCATCAAATCACTTTACTGAGTGGTCCTGAACTGCTCTTCTAGGTGCTCATGTACAGGTCCTACCTTATTCTCACACCCTGCATGGGACAGTGCAGCTGGCAACCACCTTCCAAATCTCCTTTAGCTGATGCTTTCCTCTGGGTGCTTCATTACCAGTTAATTCTTGGGCAGGAGCCATCCTGTGCAGCACTCTTCATGTTGTCATTTACCAAGAAAAAAAAATCCAAACCCTGAGTCTTTTTGGGAAAGCTGTTCATTGCCAGCTGATATGTTGCCACTTGTTGTTGAAATCCCAGCTTGGCAAGCCTGCAGGAGCAGGTTTTTCCTGTTGTTTTTGTCACGGACGCAGAACATTGTGTGCTCATGTTGGACACGTTAGCCAAAGCGCCTCCTGAGTCTCTCTGAGCACATCTTTTTCCTTCTACGTCTCCTAGCGTTAAGCAGATGGTTTATCTCCTGGAGAGACATGGACTTGGACTGACTAGGTTGGATGTCACGTTGGGCTGGAAAGTCCCCCTGGACCAGCCTGCTGGATTGCCCACCAGTCTTAAAAGCAGATTGATGGACTGCCAAGTGTCCAACATCCCAGCTGCCTTTACTGAAAAGAAAGTTGCTGCATCTCAGGGTGCATATACTGGGGAAGGGCTACAAGAAAATGGTGTGTCCATGTTTGTCCTCTCTGGCTGGTAGCACACCCTCAGAGCATCGCATGAGAGTCCTGACAGAGCCACCGCTCTGGTTACAACCTGGCTACTGGTACAGCCAGCAGCCAAGCGGTGGAAAAGCCCGCACTGCCAAACGCACCGTCAACGGGCGGGAATGGTGGCATCAACAAAAGGTCCTTGTGAAGGGGCTCCAACATGCTCTGCTCCTGGCTCCTTGGCATCCCTTGGCTGAGCTTGCAGAAGCTGGCTCCGTGTCTTCTGCCTCACCTTTGCCTGCTCTCTCTGGAGAGGGCGTTCATTAACACGAGATGGCGGAGGTCACATCCCTGTTCTGGTTGCCTGTTGACTTTGGCTCCTGTAGCTGTGGGCGGGGATAGGAGTGGGCTGAAGTAGCTGAGAAGGGCTGGAGCATCACTGGAGCTGGGGTGGTGGAGAGGGCAGGAAAGAGGCAAACAAAGTGCCTTTTTGTGAAATGTGGTGTTACATGGGCAACACGGAGGCAGCGGAGGGGAAACTGCCGGGAAAAGCGGATGTAAAAACTGAGAAGTGTTGAAGTCTCAGACATGGGCTGCAACCGTTCACTAAAGGGTAATGTATCTAGAGGGTGAGCTGAAATGCTTTCTAAAGCTTTTTATAAATGTGGGAAGAAGAATGGTATCAAACAGAGCAAGGAATTGGGAGTCAGGACACTTTGGGGTATTGCTGTGTCCCAGGGGAGTGGGTTTTGGAGGCAGGATAGACCGCATGGGTAAGGAGTCTGGCATCCCACGCTCAGTCGTTGCTTGCTCTGGTTCTGGAATCAGTGTCTCGTGTTCGCTGACCACCCACCAAAGGTGGAGAGTGTTACACCTCGCCTCTGGGGTCAGGATCATCACCGCAAGCCTCGTAAACCCGTGTCTTCTGATCAAAGTTTAATCCCATCTGATGACAGGAAATGAAATTTCATAATATAATAAAAAAGTGACACACAAGTCCCAACACTAACAAAAATGAAATTTCACAGAAAGATAATAACGGCACAGAAAAGTCCTGGGACTAACAAAATGTTCGGATGGCACAGTGATGGAAGCGTGTAAACACTTAGTTTGATGGACGGAAATATATGGTCCTTTTGCTTGTTTTTTGTTATATTTACAGGTGTCTAGGGATAAAGAACTTGTGCTTATGTGTATTTGTGTGACGTAGTCCTGGTGCTGCACAGCTTAAAAAAAAATATTTTTTTTTAAAAATTCAGTTTACAGAGATACGGAGAGAAAAAACTTGTGCTTATGTGTATTTGTGTGACATAGTCCTGGTGCTGCACAGCTTAAAAAAAAAAATATTTTTTTTAAAAAATTCAGTTTACAGAGATACGGAGAGAAAGATGGTAGAGAAAATCCGGAGACAAGAGCACTTGTTGTTTCTCTGAGATGAACTGTCTTCCAGGCTCTGAGATTAAAAACTACTTGCATTCTCCAAATGAGGTTTTCTTCCTCGGGTAGAGACAATGCTAATGGTTCAGACTTGGTTACAGTTGGCAAAAAGTCGATTGCTTTTTAATCTGATTTCCTAAAGAAATAAGGCGTGTGATCACACTGCCTCTCTGCGTGCGAGCGTGTGGGCGCAGCTCTGCCTGCCTGCTTTTCCCCTTTCTCTGCTGCAATTTTGGATCTGCTGGTCAGTTCCATCCGGGGGAGAGGAGGGAAGGACTTAGAGATGCCTGTACAGGTATCATGGAAATAAGAAGGCTAAATAGAGGATGAAAACTCGAGTGATGGCCCACTGATGGAAATGCCTTGAGGCTTTCTGGGTGTTGGAGAATCCATATGGAAGCTTGGCTTTTCTAGGACAGAA